GCAGAGCAACAACTCCAATTTCACATCCAGGTGGTCAAGCCAGATAACTGCATTAGGAGCAGCGGAGTGTATCGCCGTAATGTCGTATTTGTGGATCGGGCATTGCGTTGTTATATGTTTGAAGTTTTCATGACTGCAGGGATCCATACTCTTTGGTTCTTTCGGTAAAGTCACGTAGGTATAAAATTAAATTAGATCAAATCACGACGTTTCGGGCGCAACACAAGCGTCCGTCATCAGGTGGGACAACCACAGCAAGAAACAATTGCTGAAGTGGGCAAAAGTGCTGCCATAATAACGGGCAAAAAAGGCTGCCGTAATAACGGCAGCCCTTTTGCCCACTTCAGCAATTGTTTTTTGCTGTGGTTGTCCCACATGATGACGGACGCTTGTGTTGCGCCCGTGATTTGATTTAATTTAATTTTATACCTACGTGACTTTACCGAAAGAACCAAAGAGTATTGTTATATGTTGTTATGGTCTGTTCTGGATGAACACAGTTGCACACTACTGGAGAGTTTTTAATTTGTGCATCAGGTCAGTTTATTCTAAAAAATAAAATCACATTATTCATAATAGAATTTGTGTTCGATCGTGTAAATATGAATGTGTCGTTAAACCCTCCACCACCCGACACAGCCAATTAGTAAGGTTTGTCACGTAAAGAAAACATGCCAACTCGTTACTCGTACTGCAACACCTTTACAACAACCAGCCTCATCAGGCGACAGCCAGAGTTGTGGAGAAAAATCTTCCCGCTTCGCGATCTCACCCAAAAAAAAAACCCCTCTTATGGATAATATCGTCGCAAAAGCCCATAAGTCGAAGTTTCGGTCGAATGGTGACTGAGCTGTTTCCCGTGTAACCCCCAGGCTATGGGACACTCTTCCATGAGATATCGGAGGGATCTCTCAGTCTGTGGACATTTTTTTTTAATGCGCCTTAAAATCTATTTATACGCTTCCGCTTATTAAACTTTTAGTTCGTTTAGCAAATTATTCTTAAAATGTATTTATGGTATTATTTTTATGCCGAGTGTCTGCTGCTGCTGCTGTTGTCCTGTATAGCGCTTTGAGATCCTTGATGAAAACCAGCTATTATAAATGGAATTACTATTATTATGACTAACGACTAATAGGGTTTTGATGTAAAGCTTTCGTGACTGCAGTGATTCATATTCTTAGCTCTTTCGGTAAAGTCACATTGAAGGGAAACAATAAAATAATAAAATATATATAAAACAATAAAAATTCTCACGACGTTTCGACCATAACGCAAACGGCCATCATCAGGTGTGAAAGCCAACGACAAGAAACATTTGAAAGAAGTGGCGGTTTGCATTTCTTTTTTAAACGGTGTCTGTATTTATTTATTTAAAAAACGTTAGCACCACGGGCAGCGATTTGGCAGTTTGTTTAGAAGGACGAGTCCATCTATGTTCTGAAAAGAGGAGGGGGGAGACGAAAAATTAATGTATGCTGTCTGAAAGCCACCGTAAGCGTGAACAATCAATTAAGACCTGAAATGGTTTATCAAATCCTTCCAATGATTGCTAAGCCAGAATACATCTTCTCGGTTGAAATTGTCTCTGTGCTTATATATGTGGATAGCCTCATGAACGAATCTCTCATGGTAGCCAGATGGCTTACAAAGAACGTCTGTCTTGGAGAAGTCAATGTCATGTGAGCCTACTGAATTATAACAATGATCTGCCACGGCCGAGGTGTTGGTCCTATCGTGTTTAAGGTCTGCTTTGTATTCACGAATGCGGTCCGAGACATGGCGTTTGGTTTCTCCAATGTAACTACTACCACAGAGGCAACTTAGTTTGTAGACACCAGGGTACTGTATGTCCAGAATCATATCTTTTACAGATGGAACCAGATGTCTTGTCTAACTAGATCAGTTAGACAAGACACTCTACAAATCACACTTATCATTGACGGCAACAATGTCCACATCGGATAGGGAACATGTAGACAATATGACTGCCTCTTCAGCTGCTACTATGTCGACCAAATGTAAGGACAACCTGATTTCCAAATTTAACCTCCTCTTCAACAAAAGACCGGACCCACACACCAAAAAGCTAGACGTTAACAAAGTCGTAATTAATCACAGTAACAGTTCTATTTCCGATGGTCTGAAATCCGTTTTAGCTAAAGGTCTAAACTTTGCAGTCACACCTAAACACATACCAGTTAATGATATCATTGCCCAAGTAGACGTTGCTCTCAGGGGCCTGGGTCACATCGCTGCAGACGTAGCAAGATCTGAAATCGCTGCAACCCTAAAAAACGCTAAGATGCCAGCTAGCAACCTCAGCAAAGATGAGCGTTTTGAATTATATGAATAAAAAAAGAGGGATGACATTGTAGTCCTCTCAGCTGACAAGGGCAATGCTACTGTCATCATGGATAAAATAGAATATAACAACAAAATTAAATAATTACTCGACGATGGTAGTTATACAAAAATAAAAAGAGATCCCACCAACAGCCTCGTCACACAAACCAACAAAATAATTTCTGATTCAACCGCATGAATTGATCAATCTAAACAGTTTTCGTTGAAACCTTCTGCTGCCAGGCCACCAAGATTATATGGCTTACCAAAAATGCATAAAAAAGATACACCCCTTCGTCCCATAGTCTCTACTATCAACTCCCTCACCTACAAACTGGCTCGTATTTTGTCTGAAATCCTGCATTCTTGGAAAAACCACCTCTGCGGTACAAAATTCTACTCACTTGGTATCGACAATCAAGGGTATTTCCCTGTCCCCAGACGACCTGCTTGTCAGTTTTGATGTATTCTTAGTTTTTTCGGTAAAGTCACGTTGAAGAGAAACAACAAAATAATAATATATATAAAACAATAAAACAACACACCTGAAGACGACCGTTTGAGTTATGGTCGAAACGTCGTGAGAATTTTTTATTGTTTTATATATATTTTATTATTTTGTTGTTTCTCTTCAACGTGACTTTACCGAAAAAACTAAGAATATGAATTACTGCAGTCACGAAAGCTTTAAATCAAAATTTAGTTTTGATGTAGTTTCCTTATTCACCAAAGTTCCTGTACCTGACACCATCGCAATCATTGAAGACTTGGTTCATCAAGGACTAAACACTGAGGTACCCCCCCTGGTGAGACACTGCTTAACCAATACATACTTCACTTGGAATGGAACTTTCTACAAACAAACTGAGGGCACCCCAATGGGCTCCCCCCTATCTCCGGTTATAGCTAACATTTTCATGAAGAAATTTGAGACTGACGCCATCCAGACTGCCACTCTGCGCCCAACCTTATGGAAGAGGTACGTGGATGACACTTTTGTCATCTGGCCACTTGGCCGGCCTGCTCTAGACCAATTCTTCGACCACATCAATTCCATACACCCAGCCATCAGATTTACCATGGAAGTCGAAAAAGATGGCAAGCTACCTTTTTTGGATGTCCTAATAAAAAGGAGACCTGATGGTTCAATGAGCCACTCTGTCTACAGGAAAGCTACCCATACTGATGCTTATCTGAAACCGGATTCCCACCACCATCCATCACAGAAGAATTCCCTCATCAAGACTCTGTACCATAGAGCCCAATGCATATCCGACCAGGAACACAAAGGCAGTGAACTCAAGCACGTACACCAAGCTCTTAAGGCTAATGGTTACTCCGATTATACAATCCGCAAAGCTATCACTCAAACCATGAAGAAGGACCCTCTTGAGAAGCCTTTCAAAACCATCACTTTACCCTACATTGCGGGGATTACAGAAAAATCTCCAAAATCTTGAATAAACGCAAGATCCAGGTCCGTTCAACACATTACATAAAATCCGTGATCTGGTTCCGTCTGTAAAAGATGTGATTCCGGACATACAGTACCCTGGCATCTACAAACTAAGTTGCCTCTGTGGTAGTAGTTACATTGGAGAAACCAAACGCCATGTCTCGGACCGCATTCGTGAACACAAAGCAGACCTTAAACACGGTAGGACCAACACCTCGGCCGTGACAGATCATTGTTATAATTCAGTAGGCTCACATGACATTGACTTCTCCAAGACAGAGGTTCTTTGTAAGCCATCTGACTACCATGAGAGATTCGTTCATGAGGCTATCCACATATACAAGCACAGAGACAATTTCAACCGAGAAGATGGATTCTGGCTTAGCAATCATTGGAAAGATTTGATAAACCATTTCAGGTCTTAATTGATTGTTCACGCTTACAGTGGCTTTCAGACAGCATACATTAATTTTTCGTCTACCCCCCTCCTCTTTTCAGAACATAGATGGACTCGTCCTTCTGAATAAACTGCGAAATCGCTGCGCGTGGTGCTGACGTTTTTTAAAAAATAAATAAATACAATGTTTATAAATAAATAAATTAATGCAAACCGACACACCTGATGACGACCGTTTGTGTTATGGTCGAGACGTCGTGAGAATTTTTATTGTTTTATACACATTTTATTATTTTATTGTTTCCCTTCAACGTGATTTTACCGAAAGAGCTAAGAATATAACACTAATAAGGTGTTAAACTCAAATCACCGTTAACTGTTGTTACATTGTTTTTACAGCTTTATTTTGGTGATTCGAAAACATATGGTTAATCTAAATTGTCTTATGGTTGTTGTTGGCTTGCACCACATTGATTTTAACATGTTTTTTTTTGCGTGGAATATTTGCTGGTTTATTCCAGGATGTTTCTGTTACGCGTTGTCGCTTTAAGATGTTTTGTGTTCAAATTTTGTTTGTTGCGGTTGCACCCGACTTAAGAGCCGCATGGCTCACAGGGCTGTACCTAATAAATGAAACTTGAAACATGAAACTCGGCGCGGTGACGTGACTCCGGTTGCGTAGTGACGTCACTCCGGTTGCGTGGTGACGTCACTCCGGTTGCGTGGTGACGTCAACGCGTTGGAGGTGGGGCGGGGGGAGGGCGGGACGGCGGACGATGACGCCATTGCCCACGTCCGGCCCCCGCCCCCTCCCTCCCTCCCTCGGCGACGGCGTCACCCGCAGTTGGCACAAAAAAGATGGTGGCTGCGAGTGGGGACTCCGCTGAGCTCGTCTCGGTGCGACACTGAGAAGAAGGAAAATAAAACCTCGGGCGAGGTTTCACCTCGCCTTCTCCTCCTCCTCCACCACCACCAACCAACCAACCACCCTCCCTCCTCCAACCCCGTTCGCGCCGCGACTGAATGAGCGAACTTAAATGCCCGATGCAGTAAAGAGGAGAGAATCGCGCGTCGTTTACAGAGGCGGCTCGGAGGATCGCAAAGGTGGGCCCCTACCCCCCCGCCCGTGTGAGAGTGTGTGTGTGTCCGGCTGTTGTCTTCTTGTGTGGAAGGCGGCGATGGCGGTGGCCGTGGCTGGTGACCGTGGTGGTGGTGGTTGTAGCGGCGGCGCCTCGCGCTCAGGCCTGCTGTGTGTCGCACGAGTTGACCCCCCCCTCCTCCCCTCACCCCGCGCGAGTCGTTTTGATAATTTCTCGTCTCTCTTTAACAGTTACTAACAGTACCAAGTGTTGACGGTACCGCTTTACACGCGTGCTGCTGATGATGATGTCGCCTTCATGATGATGATGATGATAATACGACTGGTGTTACCGCTACGCGCTGTTATTACAGCCGGTGGCCGGTACCAACCCAAGATTCACACTGCCTCTTAAATTTTAATTGTGCTACTAATGTTATTAATTCGCCTGTGCAGTGGTAATTGCACCGCAGCAAATGGCACTTCGCATGGTTATTACTGGCAGTGGGACCACCACTCCCTTCAGCACCATCAGCCCCCTCTTGTTCTCACTGCTAATTGCATTAATACTAATACCGTACTTAATACTAATACAGCTATTCACAATACTACCATTACACAATTACTATCGATGCCACCACTACATACTACTACCACCACCACAACACGACCATTATTACCGCATACATCATATCTGATGATCAGCTTACATTGTACATCACTAATGTACACCATGTCCGTCATCGCCATCGTCACATCTAACATTCAGTATTATTACATTACTACTACTACATGCCACGGCTGAACCTATTCAATTATACACGAACAGTTATTTTGTTACTGCACTGCTGGATGATATTTTCCCCACGCCATGCGGTTTGTGGTGGGGGGGTCTCTCTAAAAAAAACGTGCAGTGGTGCAGTGCGTGCACCGTTCAATTGTTCTCATGCAGGTGATGGGGGGGGGGGCATGTTTATAGAGACATTGTCTCTGTGTGGAGCGGCCTATCCCTATCACACCTCACGGTCCACTTTGTTGGGTTTTATAACCAGATAACCCTCGCTGCGCCCAAGTCTCATCGGATATCAGAAGTGTGTTCTTGGGATGGCATGGATGGCCACCAGGGCTTGCCAGGTGTTATAGGCGTAATGCTGCGAGGTGGCCGGAGGATATGGCGGTGTTCAATCACACCCCCCCCCCTTCGTGTGTGTAGTGTGTTTTTTCTCCGGGTTCTGCGGTTTAACCCCACGAAGCCAAACGCCGATGGTGTGGGCTACGCATCCCAATTCAGCAGGACCCTCCTGAAAAAAAACAGCTTGAGCAAGGCTTTCTTTGGTAAATAATTGACATTTCTTATTTGGTCCACGGACACCATACTTGAAGGTTTAGAAATATGTCCTGTGTAACTATTTACTATTAAGGGGGGAAACATGGCAAAAGGAACTGCGCAATGATTAGTATAATTGTCGTGGGTTTCGTCATCAGTAGCTATAATCAATCCACTTCTGGATGAATGCCTCCCCACGCCGTCACCATCTAGCATGGTCCTGCGATGTAACATTCCACCTTGCCCCAATTCCACGTGGTATGTCCTTTCAAGCACGTTTCCTCCCTGAGCTGCCTCTCCACTGGTTTTCAAAGCAGCAGTGTTTCACACCACATCTCAACATTGTCTTACACTGCCAGTCATATCCATATGCGATTTACCTGACAGCAGGTGTCGGTGGAGGTCTTTACTCGTAAAACAATTACTGCTTATTGTGTACGAACAGCGGTTGGTCTAGTGGACAGTGACTGCCACTATAAGGCGGAATTTCTACAATAGAGACATTGAGTTTTAATGAGAATAGTAATAATAACGCCCTTATTTATCTGGGAAAGTTTTACGAAGACCTCAATGATGGTTTTGGAAAATGTCCTGCATTGGGATGTTAGGCCAAATGAATATATGTTCATGGTAGTTGGTATTCAGGAGGAAATCAGAGGAGCTATAGAAAAAAAACACCATCGCATGCAAAGGGTATAACACTCAAATCTCCCAACACATTCAAGGATCCAATTTTCTGCTGCCATCTTTCATTAGTCTTATCATTGTTGTAAAATATAATCAACACCTATTTAATTATCTTGGTTCCTGGTTTACTGTTAAGACGCATGTGAAAACAATCGCAATGTATTCCCTGACATAAGTGGATAGACTTGTCATTTTACAAACATGAATGATTTACCTTCAACAACCATTACCGTATTACAGTAGCATCCGACATAACTGTACCAGTACTGTCATTTAATGGAATACGTCAAATGCAGCTTATTTCTGTTCAGAACGCATTCCCTGCTTGATAAATACATTTTATGACAATATAAAGGGCATATATATTTTTTAATTCTTTTTTACGAGTAGGAAGGACGTGAATATTTGTATTCCAAGCAATCTTCCAATCAATTCTTAATCTTCCAAATGGCACTCGAGGGTGGAGCAGTAATGTGGAGGTTGTCTTGCTGTACTATATACAGTACCCAGCGACCTAATCTTGATTCTCAGCAACTGCTAACAACCGTGGCATTTGATTTATTTCGCAGTTCTTGGCTCTCTCCTCCCCCTCTCCCTTCCAATCCTCACTGACCAGCGTAGTGAAGTATGGTCAAACAACCCTTATGACCTACATGGAATGGGCAGGCCTTCATCCAGTAATTGATAATGAACTGTAAATTATTCTATTTAAATATAACAATTTCATAATAAAAGTTAACTGTAAACCAAGTATTATGAGACCTCCTTTGCCAGTAACAAGATATAGTAATAGGTTTTACCCTTTTAACTGGCACAAAAAACTGACACCTTTATTCAAGGCATCATGTCTGCAATAACCACAACACAAGCAGTCAAAATGCAAACAAAAAAGACAACTCTGATAATAATATGCACTGTCCTTGAATTTGATTGGTCCACACCCGCGACGGCTTTCTTTAGAGCCTAGTCTCCATTGGTGTTGGACCAGAAGACGCCAAAAGGCGTACAACTCAAAAACAGCACACCATCAGAGTATTGAGGGCTCGGGGTGAGCATTTACATTGAGACCTCCTTTGCTAGTAACAAGATATAGTAATAGGTTTTACCCTTTTAACTGGCACAAAAAAACTGACACCTTTATTCAAGGCATCATGTCTGCAATAACCGCAACACAAGCAGTCAAAATGATTGCAGACATGATGTCTTGAATAAAGGTGTCAGTTTTTTGTGCCAGTTAAAAGGGTAAAACCTATTCCTATATCGTGTTACTAGCAAAGGAGGTCTCATAATGTAAATGCTCACCCCGAGCCCTCAATACTCTGATAGTGTGCTGTTTTTGAGTTGTATGCCTTTTGGTGTCTTCTGGTCCAACACCAATGGAGACTAGGCTCTAAAGAAAGCCGTCTCGGGTGTGGACCAATCAAATTCAAGGACAGTGCATATTATTATCAGAGTTGTCTTTTTTGTTTGCATTTTGACTGCTTGTGTTGCAGTTATTGCAGACATGATGCATTGAATAAAGGTGTCAGTTTTTTGTGCCAGTTAAAAGGGTAAAACCTATTACTGTAAACCAAGTAATTTATCGGTGTCCTTAACACAAGGCCATCCACTCCCAACTGTCTACAGACATTAACCTTGGCTTGTATAAAAAAAGAGAATATATTTTAAACTGCATTGCAAATAGTGATCAGGGTTCCATACTTACAGTGAGGGAAAACAGCATTTGATCCCCTGCTGATTTTGTACGTTTGCCCACTGACAAAGAAATGTCTATAATCTTAATGGTAGGTTTCTTTGAACAGTGAGAGACAGAATAACAACAAAAAAATCCAGAAAAACGCATGTCAAAAATGTTATAAATTGATTTTCATTTAATGAGGGAAATAAGTATTTGACCCCTTCTCAATCAACAAAGGAGTGGCTTAAGAAGAAGCACATTAAGGTCCTGGAGTGGCCTAGCCAGTCTCCAGATCTTAATCCCATATAAAATCTGTGGAGGGAGCTGAAGGTTCGAGTTGCCAAACGTCAGCCTCGAAACCTTAATGACTTGGAGAAGATCTGAAAAGAGGAGTGGGACAAAATCCCTCCTGAGATGTGTGCAAACCTGGTAGCCAACTACAAGAAACGTCTGACCTCTGTGATTGCCAACAAAGGTTTTGCCACCAAGTACTAAGTCATGTTTTGCAGAGGGGTCAAATACTTATTTCCCTCATTAAAATGCAAATCAATTTATAACATTTTTGACATGCGTTTTTCTGGATTTTTTTGTTGTTATTCTGTCTCTCACTGTTCAAAGAAACCTACCATTAAGATTATAGACATTTCTTTGTCAGTGGGCAAACGTACAAAATCAGCAGGGGATTAAATACTTTTTTCCCTCACTGTAGATAACAGACTGTATGACCCTCCAAAGTAAAAAAACCCCTAAAACATTTGTTTAGGCTGGCATTCACAGATGAAACTAAATTAATGGTACAAAATGTACGGTCGTAGATTAAGATTATTATTTTAATTGCGTGGGTTTTAAAATTTGTTTTAAGGAAGGTTCCTTTAAATAAATAAAGTAAGTTTTGATTGATGCCCTGTATGCGAGTGGTCGCTGCAGTGTGCCCCCATGGACTGTAACACAGACACAAGGGCAGTGGAGGAATTTTGGGTGAACTGCTGTATATGGGGCCCATGACCAAATCACCCGGAATGTGCCCGATCTCGTCACACCTCTAAAGCGAAATGGGGTTGTGAGCCGGGATAGTGCTTGGATGGGCCACTACCAACATATACAACAGTTGGTATAGGCTACTGGCGGGGATATATTGTGGGCAGCAGAGTGCAGTAACTGCCATTGTTGTACCGTATTTGTGTCCCCACATCTATGATAACTGCTACCACCAACCCACACTGATCAGCAGTGTGTTAACAAAGCGGCTATATAGCTAATGTATATGGGATCGAAGAGTAGAAATGAAAAAAAATCTCAGGGCGACATCTGCCTCCATTGTGGAATTCATGTTATGTGATGAGTGTCATCCGTGTGAAGGCTAGAAATTAATAAAAGAGATAAAGGCATGAATATTAAGGCAAAAGGATATTCCTCCTTGCCATTAAATTAATTGGTACGATTCCGGGTTGCAATTGAATTGGCCTATTGCAGGTGATATACAAGTTTTGCCGATGTCGCCTGTGATACGTACAAATCAGTGATCTGCGTCACATTACAACTGACATTCATGTTGTGGTAATTCAATGTTAAACAGGTAATAGTGATTTACAGCCCTTTTTCAATCCACTGCTGGATGATGGCCTCCTCATGCCTTGTCGCTCATTGTGGTTGGTTGACCATGCTTTACAACACCGATCAATGCGAGTTGATGAAGGGAGGGGGATGCTTAGGACCGGTTCAGATATTATTCGCCACCGATGTGAACCATGGCCATGAATTGAACTCTGATCACTAGGTTCATAATGCAGTGTGCCAACCACTGTCCCCGCAATTTCAACCCCCATTATTCTATGCACGAGGAGCATTTAACTTCAAAGATACATTTCCATATTTAATATTTATTTTGAGCAATGTGCATTGGAATGCATGTCTCTCATTTATGTCGTTTTTCTGTTCGATTTGGTAGACTAATTTATAGTTATTCTGAACGCTTAAATTGAATCCGAATAATTTTGAAGGTGCCTTAGTTTGTTGGCCTTTGTGCGGATACATAATTTTATGTGCTTGCATGCGTACACAAGTACAGTGACTGCTCGTGACTGTGTAGTACTCCGTTATGTACAGACACTTATATATGAAGCAGTAATACAAATTACGTGAACGTATCTGCCAGACGTTGTGGGATGACTCGTGTAGATAAATGAAAACAATTGCGTCTGATTCTACTCCCTTGCTAATTATTCTTAAAGCAGCTCATAAAGGCTTGTTTCATTTTAATAATACCGTTTAAACTAATTCCATTAGAACGGATATGACAGCATTATAATTATTCATACATCATTCAAATGAATTGCATAATGTTTCATATTACACGGTAGTTGCACTTCTATAAAATTTACGAGAGCTCATAAAATACTTTCAGGCCTGGTCCTTGTACAACAATTTTTTTTTTCCAGCTTGGCAATCAGAGCCAGTGTCACCATGAATTTCACTGCATTGCTGTGCTGTTTTCTGTTCCCACCCGTTTTTTGTCATTGCTGCTTGTGGTGTTATGCATCACTATTACGAGTGACAGCATGGCAGAGGTGTGCATTAACATGGTCCCGTTTTATGGGACAGCCAGTAATGACTATGGGTTTTACACTGGGGGTATGGCAAAAT